CCATGCATGACTAATGAAGTCTACGCAGATTTATTTTCTACACACTAGCAACCTCTTGCTCTCTGACTCAGTAAGTGATAAGCTGGGCACATTAGAAATGAATGGGTGATAATTAAACATGAACAATGAAGAGGGTTTCTGTAAGTAAATCAAGCTGAGCATGCTGGCATTGACATTAAGGGAGGTCATGAAGTCTGGACAAGAATTGGTCCAGATGGTGAAAAACACTAAATACTGAGAAAGAGGGAATAGGGTCCATCTCCCAACAGGGAGTCTGAATCCTGCCATGGAGATAGCTGTAACTGCTCAGTGACGCAGACAAAACAAGTGTGGCGTGCAATTGGGTCATAAGCACATCAGAATAAAGCCTTCACCATGAAGTAATAGTTACTACTTTAGCCATTTGCCCTGCTAGTAGTCTCTTCTCATGACTCTTCTAGTTCCAACGCTGCCATTTTGCAGCCTCGTCTGCAGACTATGGTCCAGAAGCATCAATCCTCTTAGATACTCATTCACTTACTTATGTAGAGTGGGGAAAAAAAGAAGTGCATTAGGGATGGATCTGCTCTGACATCCCTGGCACCTCACCTAGAACACACACGTGGCAGAGGCCAGCTTCAGCCGTCTTCATTCAATCCACAATGTTCTGTGCTTTACTCTAAAGTATCGGTCTTTGACTTGTTCTGTTAATTTTTATATCCTCCCCTTTAAGATAAGGAAAAAAAAAAGAAAAAAAGATTTTGGCTAGTGAGTAAGCCTCACTCACTGTGATTACAGAACTGAAGTTATCAAAAGCTCTTCCTATGACAGTGCTAAATTAACAAAAGAGCAAAGTCACCATGACTCCCTTTCTCTCTAATCCTTCCCTCCTCCAAACGTGATTCACAGAAAGACAGTAGAAGCATATAGATTATGCATCACGCACAAAGGGATCTTGGAAGAAAAATACAACTTACTGTGCAAAAAGAACAACAGCCCTGTATATTACCTCTCCTTCAGACAAAAAAAAAAACAAGCACCACTTATCTTAACAATCACACTGGAAGCTTAGAGGATTGCTCTGCTTATCAGCAGGCTCTTTGAAAACCATGCAGACTGGAAGCATGTGAAGATACACACACAAGAGCACAGACAAACACGGGCTGTCTTTTCTTTTTACATATCAAACGGAAAACGTTTTTTTAAACCACATGGATATTACAACCCAGAGTTTATAAATAAGTTAATAAATAACCCCCCTAAAAATCTAATCAATAGTCAGCAGATGGACTTAACAACTGTTTCAAAAGAAAAAAAAAAAAAACTGTTTGAAAAAATGCTTTATACTCTGCTTGCACTAGTCACTGCTGCAGGTTATTGATCTTTTACAGACAAACAGCCTCCATTAATACATACTTGTGTTAGCCTGGCAATTTATCCTGGAAAGCTTGACCCTCAGTGTTACTCATCTGCATGAGGCACTGAGTAACAAGCAGTGTTTTCTATATCTATTTTGGCACACATATACCGTTCCCATTACCTAGATTGCTGAAGCCTATTTTTTTAATGCATTCTCTCTGTGCAGAAAAAAAAAAGTCATAGTTTGAGCACATAGACAAGAGTACAAATAAATTATAGAATCTGTAAGGCTTTTCATAGTGCAACAGTTTAAATACATGCCGTATCTCAGGTAACTTGGAGTTTCTAACTACCATGTTTTCATCTCATATAATGAGGAAGAACAGTAACAGGATGGAGTTGACTCCAGATGCAAGATGCTTCACTAACATTGTCTGGTACCTTATCTGCTCAAAGTCACACATTTGAACAGTCTAGGTAACAGTTTGGCATGCCAAGGCTGTTTCTTAATTATCAAATGCAGTATATTAATGCTGATTCCCTGCATCAGAGAGTAATAAACAAATTCTGAAAACAGGTTAAAAAGCCTAGGTTTATTGAATGTGATGCCAGACTGATTAAAATATCTCTAAAGCCTGAAGAATGAGGGACCACTTCAAAAAAATGAAGAACAGATCCTAAAGGGCAAGGAGAATGGAGCCAGTATATGCCAAATAGTACCATTGCTCCTATTTCTACCATTCTTGATAGGTCTTAATGCTGGCTAGTACGCAAGGTAGATCTTTGCATTCCCTTTTGTACAACAGACCTCCTCAAATAAATTTGAGGGCAGGGGGTGTCTGTGGTTTTTGTTGGGTTTGTTTCTTATCATTGGTACAAGAAATGATACAACTCAAATTGAAGCATATTAAAACTGAATTTATGACCCTAGAGTTTCTATTCATTTCTTATTCTGAGGAATCTTGATTTTTACTGTGTAAAAAAATATCAAAATGAGAGCTATACAACAACAGCTAAAAATTGAGGTTGTATCATTGCTTCTAGGAATTTTAAACCTTGTCATGTTGAACACTAGTGAAAGTACTAACGTATCTATAGATGTATAATGTGCATCCCTGAAACCAGTGCTTCTCCTTCACCTTTTCAGAATCAGCAATTCCAAGCCATTTGTATCTGAATTGGGAAGCCCAATCCATTTTTTCCAGACAAAATTGAAAAGCAAAAACATACTGGCACACCAAACTTTCTTGCTTATTACTAAGACTGAATGACTTTGCAAAGTTTACACTAGCAAATAACAAATCATACGTACCAATAGTTAATTGGGAATGATATAAAGAGATCATCAAGAATACCTGAAGCGAACACCAGACTATCTGTCTCAGAGACACTGAAATATATTGCATCAAATACATGGAAATGTCAATTTTCCAGTGCGGACACTTGAGTTGATATAGCAGAAATGGAAAGACAAAATGTATTCAGTAAGTCCTCCTTTTGCTATTGTTTACATTGTGTAAATCTAGACCTATTCTATTGACTTCAATATTCCATATTTATATCAGTGAGAGACCACAATTTGCCCATTAAGTAGAAATAGCCATCTACAAAATTAATAGAATTAGACTCCTGTGGCAAAAAAAAAGTTCTACAAAAGAGCCTGATGCATTTCTAAATAATAGCAAGGCTTCAGGTTACACAGAAGTTATCCCCCCCCACCATTATTTGCACTGAAATCCAGTCTAAAGAACATTTAATTCAATTAACACACAAGTGCCTATACTTCCATTAGACTCGGGTATAATGGCAAATCTAACAGATAGGAACAGGAAGGAAGCCTTCTCCCTCTCCACAACCCACAACACTTCATAACTTCATCAGGCAACCAGGAGTAGAACTCTTCATTGTACTGATATATGGAAAAGACTTTAAAAAAAAACAACAAACCAACAACAAACAAACAAACAAACAAAAAACCACAAAGGGATGTTATACGTACTTTTTGAAGATCCTGGTTGAAGTCTAATCATGCTCCAGGAGAAGTCCACATGACTTACCTTTCCAGACCATTCTGAAACCCACACCCTTGGCATTTCTAAATCACCAGCCAAGCCTGACACTGGGAGGCTGGCTCCTACATCGCCCACATCATCCCCACGCCTATCAAACCCCCGTCTCTGCTCTGCATGGTGTCCAGCTGCCAGCTCTAAAAAGCAGCAAGGAATCCCCAATTACAGACACAGGAATCTGGCTTCCTGATGCTTCAGAGCCTGCTCTAAGTCGTTAGCAATGGCATAACAAGGGCACTGTGACAATCTAGAGCTGTGGAGTCCAGCACATTAGAAAAAAAAACAACAGTATCAATAATTTCTTCAGAGATTGCCTGGACATGTACTTAAATACAGCCCAATAGGATTCAAAGTAACTTTTCTTTTACATAACAGGTTTATATTGTGCTAAGCATAGCACAATATAAACAAGTACTGCAAGAATGGAAAAGTGTGTCCAATTGGCAAAACCAAACCAAAACACAGAAAAATCAGAGTCAAATTTGTGGCTCCAATATGAAGTGTTCCTTCTGGACCCAAAGAAGTCATTCTAGATTCCAAAACAACCCAAAATTAGATGTGGCATTACAGCCTATAAATCTGCCTCTGTAGGACCCTTCTTAAAAAGCCACTGTCAAAATACAAATGTTGATAGGCCTTTACAATATCTGTTTGGGAGAACTGGGAGAAAGGGGACACCAACACAGATAACACCACAGTTTATAATGACACAGAGAAGCAGGCTTTCTGGCCATCAGCAGAAACAGACTGTCACCACATGTTAAACAGCTTGTCATATGCGCCATCATTTCAGCCACATCTCAAACTTCTAGGGAAGGGTTGCAGATATGACAGAGCTGTAGCACCAATATTGCATGGACCTTGCCGGTACCACTAATAAAGTCTACCTAAAATACCCTTAATGAAAAACAGCAGCTTGTGAGATGCAGGTGGTCAGAGTAGTCTACTCTGGATGAGCCTTTTCTGTTGTTATTTTATTAGAGATTTTAATAGTAATTGGCCAAGAAGAACATCCAATCTTTTGAGATCAAGCAAATCAATATGCCATGAAGCATAAAACTGTTGCTGTATGTTTAACTGACCACCTGGTTTTAACTGACCATCCTAGAAAACAGCACCCAATTTTTCATCTTAGCATACAGCTAGTAATTCAGTAGAAGACAATCTAGAACACCGATCAGCAGTTTTACATGGATTCCATGTCTTTGTCACCAAAGTTTAAATGAAATGTACAAAACATAATTAGTACATAAAACGTAGCCATTTCTACCTATGTAAATATTACTCACAATATATTCAAGTAATTGCTGGTTTCTCCAAACCAAGAATTCCATTAACATCAACTGCCATCATTGGTCTGGTTGAGTTATCTTTTAAAAAGAAGAAAAAAACACCCCAACGCATACCAAATTGCATATTTTCATTTTAAAGAGGAAAATAAAAATAAACTGCTGTATGCTTTTGAAACTTTCCAAGAAACAAAGTTTGGCTTTGGAGTTGTATTTCAATTGAAAGTAAAACTAATTATGTGTTGTCTGTGTTCCTACCCATCAGAACTCACAGCTCACCAATCCAATGGAAAAGCCTACTTACGGTCATTACACTGGCTCCCAGAATATGAAGTCATGGAGCAATCACAGGTGAAGCCTTCCCATTGCTGATTACAGATGCCCTGATTCGCACAAGAATCTTCCTGGCAGGTAGTACTCGGTCCTGGAGAAGGGTGACAAGAAAAGGGTGAAACAAAGCTGAGAGAATAATTTTAATCAGGCCACAAAAGCTCCAATTTATCGTTACCATTACTATCAGGATCCTCATGCAGAAGAGAAAAAGCACTAACCAAACACTTTTCCATTCTTAGACATGCAAAAAACTCAGGTAAAAAGAGCACAAAGACAACTGTACACTCCACAACAAAACAGCAAACTAACACAGAGCAAGGAGGAAGAGTGAGCAGCAACATATTCCCTCTTAGGCAGGCCAAACTCATATGTTCAGTGCTTGCTCAAAGAAATTTACTGTGAAACATGGTGTGATGCAAGGATAACAAATACTGCCAGTTTGTTGTGCTTCCCTGGAAGTTCGATCCCCTTGTAGAAACTAAGGCTAAGAAATGAGCCCATGAATTTCATGCTTCATCCTACCCAAAGAACATTGATAAGTGGATTCAAACTGAAATTTTCAAACCTCACTTGGCTACAACTCTGCTTTAAAGGTTAAGGAAAAACAAAAACAAAACAAAACAAAAAATATAAAGAAGCCCCAAAGACTCTAACTAGTGCAATTACATAGGTTCCTCTGGTAACATGTCAATTAAGTCCTCAGAACAACACTTCTTTGTTCTGGACTTCCACACTCTTTGGGGGAAGCAGAGAAGGAAGCTGCCACTACTGACAGACCAGCCTTTCATCGTTCTGTGATTTGTAGCTAACAGTTGTTACCCTACTCAGATAAACCTTGCAAAGACATAACCCGAGCAAAAAGCGATCTTCAGATCAAGGGGACTTTGAATGACAGCTCGTATGTCATCCACAAGGAGGTAGCTGGATTCTGAACCACCCGAGAGCAGACATGAACCTGCAAGCCATAGGTTATAAGAACATGAGTTTAAAAGTTACTTCCTGGGAAAGTATTTTATCTTCAGCACTCTAGACAAAGGTATGCTGCTCCTATTGTGCAATACTTCAAATAAAATGTACAACTGTAGTTGTCGTACCTACTATTCTACATCCTGCACTTCATGGAAGAAAAGAAGCAGCAAAAGAAAAAAAGTAGATAATAGAGGACCAACTGGCTAGGCTGAGATCATTTTATTAACCACTTCCAGGCTCAGACAATAGCATAAGGATAAAGCAACAACTATTCTACCCAACCCACAATATCCCATCAAGTCTTTGTTTGCAACAGCAATTCCATGAGGCTCATCCTTCTCTTCATCCTTATCTCACCATTCCATCAGCACCACCAGCTGTACTTTATGGAAAAGATAAGACACACCAAAGTGGAGACAGCATTTTCAAATGTTTTAACCCAAAATGAAACCCTTAACCTCCATCTGACACCACCCACAGCAATTTCATCAGATCCCATAGTCATACAGCATTGATATTCAGATTGTACATCTGGGCACTTCCACCTTTATGAGCCTTTGTAGAACCCACAGCTAACCGTCATGCATGGTCTTCCCAACAATTCAAAGACTGAGCCAGGGTCAGACCCTTATAGCTTTGGTGCAGAGTTTCTGCTCTTCCCACCAGATCATCTTTCCCCACTTTGAGAACAGAATGGGTGAATGTCAACAGCTTTTTAGCTATCTGTGGTTCCTTACATCTCTCCCACAATGAGAAGGAACTCATGACTATCAGTAGGTAGAGAGTTTAACTGAACATTAGCAAAAATCTGAGTTTCTTCCACAGTCTGTTATACTGTTAAAAAAAGCCAAAAACCCAAAACCTCTAGGTAGAAGCATAAGTGTAGGTAACAAAAGCAGACAACAAAACCCCTGAAAGAAAATTCACCAATTGAAAAGAGGTGGTGGCAGCCACAGCACGAGAACTGTTTGTTAGCAGACTGACAGAGAGCTGAGCAGTATTTTTCAATGCTTTTCTCCTCCCTTCCTCTCCTTCCCACCCACCTGACTCTCATTCGCAGCTGTATGAATCCCAGTGGTCTCACTGGCAGAGTGTGAAGTTAACAGATCACTTCTAGGATTACAACAGTGCTGACAGACTTTACAGAGTGGGCTGGTAGGCACATGTATGTACATGCTTTCCTCCTGCTTTTACACTTGTAAAAGACATGGATATAACTATCTGAGGTCTGACACTTGCTTTAGACTTACTTTGGCCCAGCAAAAGAAGGGATGACACTTAGCAATCTGAAATAGAATATTAGTTGTCATTTTTCCTAAAATTCTGAGTTATTCCTTATCTTTGGATAAGGAGCTGATATCTCTCCTTTACTTCACTATCCCATTATCTAACCTCTAACCCTAAATATGAATGCCTATACTCCTAGAGGCAAGTTATATATATAGTTAAAAAATAAAACAAGAGAGCAATTGTGACTCTATGCAAATCTGCTACAGCATCAACTGTAAACACCGTTACAAAGAAGCAAAGCAGAACAAAATTCTCAATTACAATGTTGTTCCCCTCTTCCTACACCTCTGAGAACACTATAATCAATAACTGGACTTCACAACAGGCATCATCTAATGGGAATATCCTTTGTCGAGATGCCACAAGAGAAAGGACCAGTAATCTACTCCAGGAAGAAGACTGCATGAGGTCTAGTACCTGTAGCTTGAGATGCTCATAGTGAGAGAGCCCAGAGAGTCAAAGGACTTGAATTCATGACCACTATTGTGGTTTCTCAATTGTACTTCACAGAAACCAGTTGTGAGGATGGAAACAGTACTTTCAAAGCAGCCAGAGGAAAAAAAAATTAAAAAAAAAAAGAAAAACGTCCACACAGTAATGAGGAATTTTGACAGCCTGCCAATACCTCAAGGAAGCTGAAAGCCTGATATGCCGTCAGTTGTGACGACACAGCATAGATGCTGGGTATTACACTTTGCCTCACTCCTTAGTAGTATGGGCCATTTGCATGTTAAAAGGATCATTGTCTCAGAGTTCATCTACTCCTGCTCTTACAGTCCTTGCCTGATGTCATAATCCTCCATCTGTGGTAAAGGAGTTTTGTTGAGAACAACTAACAGGGATGTCACAGGGGATTAGGATTTTGGATTAGGGAGCAAAGCGACAGAAGCACAGGAAGGCTTATAAAATAGGAAAATTGTGTTACCACGCACAGGCCCTTTAGTGTCAGCAAACAAGGAGAGAGAAGATGACAAACAATTTATATGTACAGCAGTACAATTGGTTCTAAAACACCAATGCCATCAGGGTTCAGCTCTATTTTTGATCTCATTCTCACCTACAGCAGTTAAAGTATTTAAAAGCAAAGTTTCAGACACAGTCTATATAAACTGAGATATGTTTGAGATACATCTGAGATAATCACCCTATACTTTTAATTAATAAAATATGCATGCTGACTTGAATTTCCTTCTTAAACACACTGACAACACTTGCTATTTCTGTTGAGTGCATCTTTGTTCAAAGGCCTTGGTTTTGTTGCGTGTTTGTAGCTGGGCTTGGCACATTATCTTCTTCATGCCACATGTACATTGTGCATCTCTAGTTTTTACTGGAACAGCTCAGTATCTGAGAACTTGCAGGATCTGAGATCTTGCTGGGTCTCCCTCCCTGGGAAGGAGTCCAGTATTATACTTTTCCTCCAAGCTACCTACCTAGATGTATGGTTTGCTTATTAGTTTTACCAATAAGTATTTGAAGAAATTCAACTCAGAACAGTACAGTAACCAGATCTCTTATTTATATTCTGCTTGGAAAAATTACTGTGTCTCCTTCTTTCCTGCAATTTCAGGTGTATGGTAGGTTTCTCTTTGCCCTGAAACTAAAAAGTTTGAATTCTACTGCTGCGCACTGCTAGAACTGCCATGTTTCATCCCACAGGTGGGCACGTTTCTCTGGCAAGAGAAATCTTTCCTGCTGTGTCATTTGAAAGCTCTTTGCAGAAGAACTTCAGGAATAAAAGACAGTATTGTGTTTATCATTCTTCCAAGTTACATAAGGAATCAGTTTCTTTATACAACAGCTGTAAGATTATAACACAGTTGTGTTATAAGTCATGCTTTGATCATGACTAGCAATAAGCATTAAGCTAAGCACACCATTCTTGGTCTTGCACATAACACCTTCCTTCACGCATCAAAAATTCACTCCTATTGAATCTACCATTTGCCTTAACGTTATTTTCTCAGTAAGATGAAGATTTTCAACAAGTTCAACGGCACCATGGGTCCATTTTCACCCTCCATCTCCCTAAATGCTCCCATCTTTTTCCCTTGTACCTTCAAAGAGGTTAGGAGAGATAGGAAAGTAACATGCACAAGACATCTTTACTGTCTTTGCTGAATAAAGTGCTTCTTTTGCCCTATAGTCGCTAAATTGCAGATGTCATCAAGCACTGAAATATCTTTACCACTACCAGTCAGATGTCATGATGGGCAATTTGTACCTATGATAAATCTACTTCTGTCAGCACCCCTCTTTCATAACCAGTGATAGTCTGCTTTCTTAAATGCAATGTGTAGGCCCAGTACAGCTCAGAGGCATCAGATCTTGGAAATCATATGCACTAGGCAGAATATAAACCTGTTCCAGGATTCATTCTTACTGCAGGTTAAGGAGGAAAGGAAGCTAAGTTTTCCAATTTTAGAATAATTCGGAAAAAAGTATTTTTTCTGAGTAAAAAGTGAGCAAAACTGAGACTAAATCTCACTGAACCATCACTTCACCGGATGGGCCATACCTCATATGCTGTAACTATCAAATACCAAACGTGGTGTGTTGACACATACTTTGCACAAATGTAAAAAACTAAAGTTTAGTCAAGATTCAGTGCACTATTCAGAAAGTTAGATGCTGTATTTTGAGTCAAAGGTGGAAAAAAGTAGGAATATCACAGAGTAACATCAACTTTGCAAACTAGAACCAAAAAACCAAAAGGGATTTTCAAGGACTGCAAGGCCAGCTCTTCGAGCTCTTTCAGTTCCAGATTTCGTTAAGAACTCATCATCCCTTTCATCACCTAAATAAGGTTAGAAATCTGGCAGGTTCCATATT